CTTGATGCATGGATCATCTATCTTATTTTATACAGTAAGTGGGTATGCCCAGTTCATGTAATCCCTAAGAAATAAGGGATAAAAATAGAGAATAATGAAAATAATGAGCTTATTCCAACTAAACCAGTTACAAAATGGCGAGTTTTCATTGACTTTCAAAAATTGAATAATGATACTAGAAAGGATCACTTTTCGGTGCCTTTTATTGATCAGATACTATAGATGTTGGCCGGACATTTACACTACTGCATCTTAGATGGGTATTTGGGATACAATAAAATAGCAATTGCTTCGAAGGATTAGGAAAAAAACATCTTTACACCCCATTATGGCACATTTGCATATAGAAGGTTGCCATTTAGGTTATGTAATCTGTCCATATTTCAATGATGTATGAAGGCAATCTTCTCAAATATGGTAGAAAAATTCATTGAAATATTCATGGGTAGCTTCTTAGTGTTTAAATCTTCATTTGACAACTGCTTGTCAAACTTGGGCATGGCCTTACAACGTTGTGAAGAAATAAATTCGGTACTCAATTAGGAGAAATATTACTTTATAGTACAAGAAGGAATTGTACTTGGTCACAGAATTTTAGTTGATGGGATTGAAGTAGGTAAGGTAAAAATTCAGGTAATATAGAAGCTATCCCCGCCAACATCAGCTAAGGGAGTACGCAATTTTCTTAGACATGTAGGAATCTATTGAAGATTCATAAATGACTTCTCAAAAATCAATAAAATAATATGATATGCAAATTCAAAACTTTTTTTTTAACCACACATTTTTATCAATACAATATTCAAAAATTCATTCTTATGAAAAGAATGGGGCTCAAACCAGGTCTTTATATAATTTTAGAGTACAGTCTCGCACCTCTTGTAGAGCTACAAAGTTCTTGATGCACTATAAGACACGAAATTTTATTTTTATAGTTTCGATGCTTTTAATTTGATTTCTCTTTCTAGTATTTATTTTGTTAAGGGGAGCTTTTGTCCTTGTATCATCATAGAATTTTTACTAGGGTTCACTATTTAAACTCTTTTAAGGGCCAGTTACTTTCTTTGTTGTTTAGGAACTAAATAAAATATTTGCAGCTTTTTGTCCAATTAGCTTATACTTTTCGATACTCTGTGTGAATTGACAAATTATGATCATGTGTTATTGTTCGTAGTAGCTTCTATCTGCATCAGATGGTACCATAGCATAGCCACGTTCCTGATGGAGATGGATATTGTTTGTGAAACTTTCTTGGATGAGATTCAGTATTAACAGAAAATCTACAGGTGAATCAATCTGTTAGATAAAAAATGGAAGCCTGTATGCCCAATGACCCGCGGTATTCTTGGGTGCCATTGGAGATGCTGTGAAAGAGGCAACTACAAGTATCAGCATTACTTGTGGAGGCAGGTTGAGCAACAACCAGCGTGGAGTTAGTTAGGGAGGAGAACTCTAGCGATGACAACTATCCATTTGTCCCTTTCAATCTAGAGTAATGAATGATGTATACTTTAAGTGAAGATTACAATGGTCCAACAATTACCAATTAGTAGCACAATGTCAAGATATTGTTGAAGAATGGAAAGAATCCAAATGACGTATTCAGTTTCATCAAAGTCTGACACTACTAAAAAATAAAGTTTTAGGCACGGATTTTCCGTCCCTAAAGTCTCAACATCCGTTGATAATAATATTCACTAACAGAATATTTGCAACCACAAATCTGTGGGTAATTTGAGGGTCGCTGATAGTTACCAATGGATCATACCATAGGTAAAGAATAAATATTTTACCAACGAATTTCTCGTTGGTAAAGTGTAAATCTTTTACCAATGGATTTTCCATTGGTAAAGTGTGAATCTTTTCCGTTGGTAAAAGTCTTAACCAATACCAACTGACTTTTTTCCATTGGTAAATGTCTACCATTATAATTGGTAAAAATCAATATTGTAAACAACCGTATGGTAAAAAAATTATTTATTTATTTTTTATTATTGTCATTGTCATTGTCATTATTATTATTATTATTATTATTATTATTATTATTATTATTATTATTATTATTATTATTATTATTATTTATTTAGTTAATAATTATAGTTTTTATTTTTTTTATTTTTAGCCAACTGAATTGAAAGGCCAAAATATTGTTTAACACCTTAGTGGACCACAAATTTATAGAGAACAACTACAAAGATATTGTTGTAAACTTCCAATGTGGGATAAATGAATTATTTTTACCAACGGATAATCCGTTTCTAATTACCAATGGAATATCTGTTGCTGAAAGATCAAAATGTTAAACAGTTATGCTGATATCCGAACTCCGATCTGGTATAAACAGTTCGCTAATCCCACCTCAGTTAAACGTAAGTTTGGCCCACACTCCCAGGTCGGAGTTACCCACCGTTATCTTAGAAAAACATCATGATTACCCCTTGTCATATCACCCTATCAATCAGAGACACTTGCCACAGGTGATGTCATCGCCGCCCGAAACAACCAATTTCAAGTCCTCGAACTCCAGCCCCTTACAAGTCATCATTACCTGGGTAATACATTGACACATGACCACCGGCCTCATTGACCAATCACAGGAGAATTCAGTGACCCGAGTTCCGAGCTCGGCATTGTTGCTGATTTGATTGATTTGATGTAATTTCAGCTGAAACTATGTATAAATAGTTGAATAGGACTTATGGCATAATCACACTAAAATGACATCATTGTGATGTTTTATAAGCACAAATCGCCTTTTTTCTTAAAGTTGGTTCAAAATTATCCTTGCTAATTTTGACATCAACAGTTTGGCGCTAGAAGGAGAGCCCCTAATTGTGAAAAATAGTTTCATTTGCTCCATAAAAAATAAAAAATTCAAGAGCCATGAGTCATAGCTCAAGTTCCAAAAATCCATCTCACACCCATCCTCATGAAACGAATATACCACTGAGTTCTCCACAACAGCAGGACCCTCAAATGATCGTAATGAGGGAAGCCCTAGAAAAATTGACAAATGCAGTGGGACGACTGGAAATGATCCAAGCACATTCGTCCCCACCAGATACCGAGGTGGAATCCCCTATAAGGATAAAGGCAAAGTGTCCCCCCACCAGAAGGACTCTCCACTTTTCAAGGGAAAAATCATCAAGAAGCCAAACCGACGAGGTCAAAAGCAAGGAACTTGAGGCGAGAAGGACTGCAAGTGTGTTCGACAGATTGGGGACCCATCACTCGTTGACCCCTATACAAGGACAAACCGACTTGAAACATCATTTGGAACAAACAGAACCCGAACTAAGCGCGCTTAAAAAATGCATCGCCAAACTGGAGGCTAAAAACAAAGGTGGCACGGAAGGTTACCAAACCAAAAGACATTCCCCCTTCACCGAGGATGTCCTTATAGAACCACTGCCTGAAAAATTGAAAATTTCCCAGGTCGTTGCATACGAAGGGGATAGTGACCCCCTCAGCCACCTTGACAAATACACCTAGTGGATGGAACTATGGGGGCAAGCAACGCAATCATGTGCCGGGCATTTCCCCTGACTCTAAAAGATAAAGCCCAAAGATGGTTTAGGAGACTGCACGAAAGGTCAGTAAAAGATTGGAATGACCTAGCCATGGCATTCTTGGCCCAGTTTATGGGCTCCAAGGCTAGAACTACACCCAAAGAACGTCTAGTGAGCATCAAGCAAGGAAGAAGTGAATCCCTCAAAAGCTATCTGAGTAGGTTCAATAAGCAATCCATTGAAGTGGAAAAAATATCTGACGGTGCGGCACTCATGGCCATATTAGCAAGACTAAGACCCAAAACGAGATTCTGGCGGTCAGTACACAAGGACGGTCCAAGGACTTATCACGAGTTCCTGAATCGAGCTGAGAAGTATATAAGTGCTGAAGAAGTAACTTCTGATCAAGAGGAAGCAAGACGCGAAATTGACCTCAGTGATGTGGTGAAAGAAAAAAAACCAAGCCGCAGTCCTCAACCAGAAAAAAAGAAGGACAGGAGAGAAAGAGAACGTCCTAGGGCTCAGCCATACAAGTTCCGAGAGTACCACCCACTCAAGGCCTCCTTGGAAGAGGTACTCATGCAAGCCAATACAAAAGAAGCATTTCGCAGACCTATAGTCCTAAAGGACGGACAGGCCGCACAACGCCAGGGATGATACTGCCGATACCACAGGATGATGGGCCATGATACTGATAACTGCCGGGACTTAAAAGAGGAAGTTGAATCCTTAATTCGATGAGGTCGATTACAGGAGTTTGTTACCAAGCCAAAAGAAGTAGATCGACCTACGATGCAGCAGCCACAGCTACAAGGGGCCCCCACACGAGCCCAACAGGTGATCCCTAACAGCAACCCACCTCCACATGTCGAAATCAAAATGATGGTGGGCGGAAATCAGTATATTGAAGGATCCAGAAGGGCCAGGCGAAGGCAAGCCCGAAATGCAAAAATCGTGCCGAACTACTGGAATCAAATCCCTAAGACCGGCATTGACCCTGAATCGTTCTGGTTTACGGAAGAAGATTCTGAAAGAATCCTCCAAGATCAGAGTGACGCTCTGGTGGTCACGATGATGGTTGCCGGAGTAAAAGTCCACCGCACTCTAGTGGACAATGGAAGTTTGGTCAACATATTGTATTCAAGAACCTTGAGGCAGTTGGAAATATCAGTCCGCCACCTCCAACCGTATCCAAGGAAGCTATAGGGATTTTTTGGAGATCCTATCGAAGCCCTAGGTTAGATAGTCCTTAGTGTGGTGCTAGGTGAAGCTCCTCGCTAAAGAAGAATCTTAGTGGATTTTGTGGTGGTCGATTTACCGTCCAATTACAATGCAATATTGGGACGGCCCATTTTGCACGAAGTAAAAGCTACCACATCAATTTATCATTATTGCGTGAAATTTCCCACCCCTTACGGGACTGGAATTATCCAAGGGGATCAAGCTACGGTAAGGGCCTGCAACGTCGGCGTGCCAAGGCCACAAGTCAACATGCTGAGGAGTAGGACGAACACACAAGCCGAGAAAGCCAGACCAAAGAGACCAATTGTTGCAGATCTCTCGGAGATCGGAATAACGAAAAAGAATCTCAAAAATGCCACAGACGAGCAACTATCTTTTGACAAGAAGGAGGTGGACCCACACCCTTACCACGGAGTTATGGTAATCTCGTTGCCTGTAGCCGGGGTAACCATACCCAAAGTCTTGGTGGATACAGGAAGCTCTCTGAACATTCTATTTAGCCACACCCTTAAATGGATGGGTATCCCTGCTAACTTTCTTCAACCATATCCACATATGGTCCTAGGATTAAGCGGAGCCTTGACTTCTGCCAAAGGATCAATCAAACTCAAAGTTGAGTTTGGATCAGCACCTCGACAGTTGAAGACGAACTCTGATTTCGTGGTGTTCGACACCCCCTCTCCTTATAACGTTGTGATGGTACAGCCCCTACTCTTCAGCCTGAGAGCAGCTATTTTCCTATATAGCTATTCTATCAAGTTCCCCACACCCCATGGTGTGGGAAAAGTCAGAGAAAACAGGGAGCTCGTCGAAAGATACCAATGGAAAACCTGTGCCAGCCATCAACGAAGCTCCCTGAGGGTACATATGGCAAACATATGGGAATCCGAACTCATTCTCTTAGACCCACAGACCAGGATCGAAGGCGGAGAACTCGTAGAACAACTAGAAGGAGTTCGAGTCTGTGCCAAAGACAAAACAAAGGAACTCAAAGTCGAGTGCGAGTTGCAGCCCTCCACCCGAAGCAAGATTGTGGCTTTCCTTAAAGAGAACCTCGATGTCTTCGCCTGGGATCACAGTGACATGAGAGGAATAGATCTTAATATTGCATGGCACAAATTACAGGTGGATCATTCAACTCGGCCAAAGTACCAAAAACGACGACCTCTGAATCATGAAAGATATGAAGAACTCAACAAAGAGGTACAAAAGCTGTTGAACAACGGTTTTGCCCGTGAAGCGAAATACCCGAAGTGGGTGGCGAATCCGGTCCTTGTGAAAAAAAACACAACGAAAATTGGAGGGTATGCATAGATTTCACCGATCTCAACAAAGCATGCCCCAAAGACAGCTTTCCATTGTCGAGAATAGACCAAATGGTGGACGACACCACCGGACATGGGCTACTCAGCTTCATGGACGCGTATTCCGGATACACAAGATACTGATGTACAGTCCAGATTAGGAACATTCCTCGTTTGTAACTGATCGAGGTCTTTACTACTACAGAGTAATGCCATTCGGTCTCAAAAACGCTGGCACCACCTACCAGCGACTTGTGAATTCCATGTTTTCCCAGCAGATGGGAAAAACAATGGAAGTATATGTTGACGATATGCTGGTCAAAAGCATCAAGGCCAAGGACTACTGTCAACACCTAACCGAAATGTTTGATATACTAAGGAAGTATGGAATGAAGTTGAACCCGAGGAAATGTGCTTTCGGGGTCAGTTCTGAATTGTAAACAACCGAGGAATCGAGGCAAACCCTGAAAAAATACAAGCTATCATCCAAATGAAGCCTCCAACCAAACCCAGAGAAGTACAAAGTTTAACCGAAAGGGTTGTCACCCTCAGTCGGTTCTTCTCCAAATCTAGGACCACTGCAAACCCTTCTTCAACATGTTACGAGATGGAAAGAAGTTCGAATGGACCAAAGAATGTCAGGACGCCTTTAACGAGCTAAAAAGTCAACTAGCCCGACCTCCGGTGTTTCAAAACCTAAAGTAGGCAAGGCCTTGAAGATATATTTATCTGTTTCAGAGCACGCCACTAGCGCTGTTCTAACCCGAGAAGAAAATGGCGTTCAACATCTGGTTTATTACATAAGCAAAGCGCTTCATGAATCCGAGCTCATATATTCGGCTGTAGAAAAACTGGCATTCACCCTGCTGATGGCAGCGCGAAAACTGAGGCCATATTTCTTGGAACACCCCATTGAGGTCCTAACCAACTCTCCATTGAGGCAAACGCTATAGAGGCTCAACACCTCCGGACAGATGGTAAAATGGGTCGGGGAGCTCAGACAATTCGACATCAAATACATGCCTCGTTCCTCTGTAAAGGGCCAGGCACTCACCGACTTTATCTCTGAGTTCTGCAACATCCCAATTGAAGAACGATAGAAAGAAACCCCTTGGAAACTTTATGTCGACGGTTCATCCACCGGAGAACGATCTGGAGCCGACGTCGTATTAACCAGCCTTGATCACCTAATGTTCTGTGAAGCCTTGCCATTTGACTTCAAAGCCTCAAATAATGAGGTTGAGTACAAAGCTCTTATTGCTGGAGCAAGGATGGCCTCAGGACTAGGGATCTCCGACCTAATCCTACACAGCGACTCCCAACTAGTCGTGAATCAGGTCAATGGTGTATATATGGCAAAAGAAGACAAGATGGACAACTACCTACGAGTTGTGAAAAAAGAACTTGAAAGGTTCAAAACCACCCAAGTCAAACAAATTCCTCGATCTCAGAACAATCACGTCGATACATTGGCCCGCCTAGCCACCAGTGAGGGAATCGAGGAGTTCGATAGCATTCTCGTAGGAAGAATATCCCTACCGTCCACCGAGCTGGATAAAGTGGTCCTTATGATGATAGACCCCAAACCAACTTGGTAGGACGAGATCATCGCTTACCTAAAAGTCGAAAAATACCCCTAAAACTCTGCAGAGGCTAGAAAGCTCCGAACAAGATCGGCCATGTATACTCTCATTGATAATATACTATACAAACAGGGATATTCCACGCCCTTGTTAAGATGCTTGGACGAAGAGGAAGCCCAGCACGCCCTACAGGACGTTCACGAAGGAATATGTGGAAACCATTCCAGCGGACTCTCACAAGCCCACAAGATCATACGACAATGATACTTATGGCCTGCAATAAGACAAGATTCTCTTGAATTTGTCAAAAGATGCGATAAGTCCCAGCGTCTCGCCCCTATCATAAATGCTCCACCGCGCGAACTGAACCCAGTGACAGTACCTTGGCCCTTTGCAAAATGGGGGGTTGACCTAATTGGACCCATGCTCGTTGGAAAAGGAGGTGTAAAATTCCCCATCGTCGCAGTGGATTACTTCACTAAATGGGCCGAGGCAGAGCCCCTTGCCACTATCACCGAATAGAAAACAACCAACTTTTTGTGGAAATCGGTGATCTGCAGGTTCGGCATACCTCCCTCCATTGTTACGGATAATGGAAAATAATTTGACAATGCATGACTTTCAGATTTCTACGAAGAGCTCAGCCTCAAGAAACATTTCTCATCACCAAACCATCCACAGGCAAACGACCAAGTCGAAGCCATTAACAAGATTATTAAGCACACATTGAAAGCAAAACTCGACTTCTTTGAAAGAGGATGGGCTGAGGAACTCCCCAGTGTGTTATGGTCTTATTGTACTACCGCAAGGACAAGCACAGGAGAAACCTCGTTTTCACTGGCTTTCGGCATAGAGGCTGTGATCCCACTAAAAATCAACATTCCTTCGCTGCGCATAACTGATTAAGACGAAGAAAGGAACCACATAGCTCATCGCAGGAACTCGACCTAACTGACGAAAAAAGGAACAACGCTGAACTCAAAAATGCTGTTTACAAACAGCGAAACGCCAAGTACTATAATCAAAAAGTGCGAAAAAGAGAATTTGAGATAGGATCCCTCGTCTTACGAAAAGTATTCCTCCCCACAAGAGAGATCAGTAGTGGATGCCTAGGTCCGAATTGGGAAGGTCCCTATCTGATAACGAAAGTCTTGCTAAAAGGAGCATATGAACTGGAAGACTTGGGGGTAGATCCTTACCCCACCTTTGGAATGCTAAACACCTTAAGCAGTACTACAAGTAAACGAAAAGGTTCCCTTGTAACATTAATCGCATCAATAAAAAGGGACTTTCCATTTCTTTTAAACATTTTACTCAGCAATCTGTCAGAATCTCATTAAGCCTTGCTCCATATGCAGGCCGATCTAAGGTCATATGTGCTGTGACACTTAGTGGAAGATTCCTCCTAAGGAATCTCATTAAGCCCTGCTCCATATGCAGGCCGATCTAAGATCGTATGTGCTGCGGCACTTAGTGAAAGATTCCTCCTAAGGAATCTCATTAAGCCATGCTCCATATGCAGGCCGCTCTAAGGTCGTATGTGCTGCGACACTTAGTGGAAGATTCCTCCTGAGGAATCTCATTAAGCCCTGCTCCATATGCAGGCCGATCTAAGGTCGTATGTGCTGCAACACTTAGTGGAAGATTCCTCCTGAGGAATCTCATTAAGCCCTACTCCATATGCAGGCCGATCTAAGGTCGTATGTGCTGCGACACTTAGTGGAAGATTCCTCCTGAGGAATCTCATTAAGCCCTGCTCCATATGCAGGTCGATCTAAGGTCGTATGTGCTGCGACACTTAGTGGAAGATTCCTCCTGAGGAATCTCATTAAGCCCTGCTCCATATGTAGGTCGATCTAAGGTCGTATGTGCTGTGACACTTAGTGGAAGATTCCTCCTGAGGAATCTCGTTAAGCCCTGCTCCATATGCAGGACGATCTAAGGTCGTATGTGCTGCGACACTTAGTGGAAGATTCCTCCTGAGGAATCTCATTAAGCCCTGCTCCATATGCAGGACGATCTAAGGTCGTATGTGCTGCCACACTTAGTAGAAGATTCCTCCCGAGGAATCTCATTAAGCCCTGCTCCATATGCAGGCCGATCTAAGGTCGTATGTTCTGTGATACTTAATGGAAGATTCCTCCTGAGGAATCCCATTAAGTCATGCTCCATATGTAGGTCGATCTAAGGTCGTATGTGCTGTGACACTTAGTGGAAGATTCCTAAGGAATGTTCCCTCCTAAGGAATCTATAGAGCCCTGCTCTTCACGATTGGACGAGCTAAGGCCATACATGGTACTACACTTAGTAAAAATGCTCAATGTATATGCCTGGTTCGAAAAGCGAGTACTGCACAAGTAAGCAAAATTCATTCAAAATAATTCTACACATTATTGTAACGCTCTTACAATTTTTGCTAAGTCTGTGAGAAAAAGCCGTGCTGAACATAAACGATTATCCATTCCAAACAAAATGTCATAAACAGTCAAAATAAAGTTCAAATCACAAGTAAAAAAAAAACAAATTGACAAACTAAAAAACCAAAAAATCAATGTTTTTTAATCGCCTAAGGGTCTTGGGGGGCAGGGGTAGTATCTTCAACATCCTGAGCTGCTGGTAACACCCGAACTCCAGCAGACTCTAACAACCTTCGCAATTCCTCCTTCTACCCCTCCAGTGCCTCATCCAGAAAGGCCACATCAAGATCAGGCCTCTCCTTCCTAATGTGCCCCACCAACACCTCCAGGGCTACCACGTATACATCATGGGCCACGACGTCAAACTCGGAGGACTCCTTCCAAGCCTCCACCGCCCTGTCAATCTTGGCGTCAGTCTCTTCAGCCCTTTTTGTGGCCTCCCTCGCCTTTTCGTTGGCCTCTTGTACTTTCTGGATGGCCTCTCTAACTTTGCCTCGCTCATCTTCTGCCCGAGCTCTGGCCTCTTCCTTCGAGGCCCTCAACGCCTTGATCTCATCCATTAGTCTTTCCCCGACATCGAGCCTAGAGTTCAGCTCGATCCTCTTCTGGTTCAGCTTCTCCTCATACTCCTTCTCCCTCAGAGCGAACTAGGATTTTTCAGCCTCCATGCTATTGTAAAGGTTGAAGACCTGATCTTTTGCCTCTATGAGTTTGTCCAGCTCGGACTTCACCTATTTTTCAAAAATTAAAAATCAAGTAAGTCATTAAAACATTTATAAAATTAATCAAAAATCAAGAAAGAGGTATACCTTATCCGCCACTGCCATCATGTATAAAACTGATCGGTGGCCATGGAGCTGAGCAGTGACCAAAGCCTTACCAATGGGCATCTCGTTCAGATAGCGCTGCTCTCTCTCACCCCAGCTCCAGGTAAGTAGACTAGCCAACTCCCTCAAAGGTAAAGCGAGCGCGACAGTCATGCCCTTGGAAGGAGAAGGAGCTCGGAGATA